TTCTCCATATATCGTTTGAAACATGTGAATATATTATTAATTCAAAACAAAAAAACTTTAAAGGAAAATTAAGATATTGAAAACTATAAAACAGATTTAAAAAGGAAATCCAATAGCTGTCAATATAAGTAAGTTTAATTTGTTTAAGTCGTGTCATACTACAAGGCTTATAATGTTTGTGTAGGTTTTTCCAGGTATCACTAGTTCATCTTCGAACTTTCCACCAAACCTACAGAACTGCTCTAAATGAGTTAAACCTGTCAGATGTCTGTCATTTGTGCTTTTTCTTGATCACATCCCTCCCTGAAGCCCTGCTTCTGCCTGCCCCAGTCTGTATTGGTGCCTGCCTGGTCTCGGTGCCCAGCTGTTGTTCCTGGTGCCTCTTCTCTCCGCCAGGCTCTGAATTCCCTACACCTTGTCAGCCGGAGCCTGTATGCTTCCTTCTTCTTGATTTACCCCCTTGATTTGTAAGAGCACCTCTTCAGTAGTAGTGACAGAATGCCCAAGATGTCAGTTTTTGATACTTGGCATATCAGAAAACATCTTTATTCTATCCACACTCTTCAGTCTGTTTTCTCTGTATTGTTCAGATTAGGCTAATTATACTGATCTGTCTTCGGCCTCACTGATTCTAAGGCAGATGCAATGGCTCTTACCTGTATAGTCCCAGCGACTCAGGAGGCTGAGGAGGGAGGATCATTTGAGGCCAAGAGTTGGAGGCTGTGGTGCTCAATGATCATGCCTGTGAAGACCTCGCCAACACAGCAAGGCCGTCTTATTTCAGTTATTATATTTTTTATTTCTTTAATTTCTATTTGGTTCCAAAATTTTTATAACTTTGATTTTTTTTACTAAGATTTTTCTATTTTTTTCATTCATTTCAAGTGAATTTATAATTGCATAATAACACATATTTATAATACCTGCTTTAAAGTCCTTGTCAGATAATTCTTTTATCATTCATCTCTTGTCTTATTCAAGTTGTGATTTTCCTGTTTCTTGATGAGTGATTTTCTGTTTGGAACTGGACATTTTAAGTGTTAAATGATAAGACTGGATTTATGTATAGGTTATACTTTAGCAGGCCTCCTCTCAAACTACCCCAGCAGGGAAGAGGGGGCATTGCCTTGTTACTGCCGGGTGATCAGTGAAGGCCAGGTTCCCGGTTGGCCTCTGATGATACTGCATGAGTAGTGGGATGGGGAGGAGATTGAGGCCCCTCATTACAACCAGGCCAGGGAAGTCTAGACTCTTCTCAGCCTTTGCCAAGGCCGCAGTTGTTTCTGTGACGTTTCACTGGAGTAGAGCAATTATTGTCTACAGGATTTTCGTCATGTCAAGCCACTCCTTTTTGTTGGTTCTTGGGCTAGACAGAGTAGGCTTTTCTTGGGACTTTTTTTGTCTCTGCTCTTTGGCATTTCCATGTTATCAGCTTCTCCAGCGCCCTGTCCAGGACACACAAGGCAACAAGCAAATCCAGGGAACTGACTGCCGTGCCATTCCTGGGTCCTGAGGTCCCTAGACAATGTGCCTTTTTCTCCTCACTTTTCAGCAGCTCGTTGCGCTTGGTTTATATATAACAATCCCGAGTTTTAGCTCTACTTTGTGGGAGGAATAGGAAAAAGTATGTCTACTCCATCATTCCTGAAACACAACTCCTCACTCTTAAATGATAGAATGGCAGGCAGAACTTTAGACGAGAAATCATTGCTCTTTGAAAATATTAGCCGGGTGTGGTGGCTCACCCCAGAGCTTCAGGAGACCAGGAGTACGAGACCAGCTGGTCAATATGGCAAAACTCCGCCTCTACAAAAAATACAAAACCTGGTCAAGCATGGTGGCACATACCTTTAGTCCCAGCTACTGAGGCTGAGGCACGAGGATCACCTGAGTCTGGGAGTTTAAGGCTGCAGTGAGCCATGATCATGCCACTGCACTCCAGCCTAGGCAACACAGTGAGAGGGAGTCTCTCTCTCTCTTTCTCTCTCTCTCTCTCATGTCTGTCTCACTCTCATATATAAGAGAGAGAGAGTGTGGCATACATATAAAGGTATTACTCTGTTGTCTTCTACATTTTGTTTTTACTTTTGAAAACCCAGATACGATTTTTGAGTGCTGATCTTTATGTCTTACATGTTCATTTCTTTCTGAACGCTTTAATGATCTTTGTTCTCAATGTTCAAAAATGACAGTAGAATTTGGGTTGGTTGTTTTTTGAGACAGAGTCTCGCCCTGTTGCCTAGGCTGGAGTGCAGTGGCGCGATCTCAGCTCACTGCAACCTCTGCCTCCCGGGTTCAAGCGATTCTCCTGCTTCAGCCTCCTGAGTAGCTGGGATTACAGGCACTCACCACTGCGCCCCACTAATTTTTTGTATCTTTAACAGAGACAGGGTTTCACCATGTTGGCCAGGCTGGTCTCGAACTCCTGACCTCGTGATCCTCCTGCCTCAGCCTCCCAAAGTGCTAGGATTACAGGCGTGAGCCACTGTGCCCGGCCTTTTTTTATACTTTAAGTTCTGGGATACGTGTGCAGAATGTACAGGTTTGTTACATAGATATACATGTGCCTTGGTGGTTTGTTGTGCCAGTTGGTGGTTTTTACATGTGCTGGATAGTCAGTGGTCTCTTCAGTCTGAAAACTTGTGTTGGTCGGTACAGGGAAATTTTAATATATTATTTCTCTCATAATTTGTTTTCTGCTACTCAATTTCCATCTCATCCCTTTTTTGGGGGAAACTATTTGTCAGGTGAACTTCTAGAATTGATTTCTTTATCTTTTCTCTCATTTATTTACTATCTCTTTCTCTTCTCTCTTTTTCATTCTAGATATCTTCAAATTTATCTTAAAGCCTTCTCAATATGAAAATCTGTAAATGTCTGGGAAAATAGAGAAAATAATAGTAATCAAACAGATGTAACTGTTTTAATATTTTGCTGTAATTTATCTTCTCCTTTTTTTTTTTTTAAGAGACAGGGTCTCGCTGTGTTGTGGCTGGAGTTCAGTGGTGCCGTCATAACTCATTGCAGCCTCAGCATCCCAGGTTCAAGCAATCCTCCTGCTCTTCAGCTCCAGAGTCGCTAGGACCATAGGCACACACCACCACGCCCAGCTAATGTTTGTATTTTTGTAGTGTTGGGGTTTCCCTATGTTCACTAGGCTGGTGTCAAATTCCTGGGCTCAAGTGATCTTCCTGCCATGGCCTCCCAAAGCACTGGGATTGTAGGCGTGAGCCACCATGCCTAGCCAGTTCTTTCTTATGCCTATTCAAATATGCAGTTCAGACTCTAGTGTTTTTTCTTTTTTTTCCCCTTTCAGCATTTACATTTTTATATTCCAGAACTTCTAGTCCCTCTGTTGCCTGGGCTGGAGTGCCAGTGTTACAATTATAGCTCATTGTAGCTTCGGACTCCTGGGCACTAGTAATTCTCCTGCCTCCGCCTCCTTAGTAGCTGGAACTACAGGTGCATGCCAATGCACTTGGCTAATTAAAAAAAAAATTTTTTTAAGAAATAGGGTCCTACTGTATTGCCCAGGCTGGTCTCGATCTCCTGGCCTCAGGTGATTCTTCTGCCTCAGCTTCCCAAACTGCTGGGAGTTTTTAGGCAAGAGCCACTGTGCCCAACTCAGTATTTTCATTTCTATAGGTTAAAAATCCAAAGTGTACAGTTGCTCATCTGAGAATACAGGAGTAAAAGCCAGTGTTTTTGTCTGCTCTCACTCAACAACACAGAAACTTCTGTGACCTCTGGTTAGTAAGAACTGGGGGAGGATTTCTCCCCGGCAACCAACCGACCAGATTTGCAAAAGACACCAGGTGGGTGTCCTCCAATTCAACTATGACACTTGGAGATAGTGTCAGATCTCACAGGTTGAGGGCTCAGTCCCACAGGACTACCAAACTTTCAGCGCCCAATGCAAGCCCCAGGTGGTTTTACTTGTTCTTCTGACCAGCTAGTTCCCATGCATTTTGATTAATTTGATAAAACAACACACAGAACTCAGGAAAACACTTTATGTACATTAACCTATTTTCATAAAGGCTATTACAGAGGATGCAGATGACCAACCAACTGGAACAGACGCATAAGGCCTGGGAGAAGGGATGTGAAGCTTCCATGACCTCTCCAGGCACGCCCCTCCAGGAATTTTCACGTGCTAGCTATCCCAGAAGCTCCTGAATCCAGTCTTTTCGAGTTTTTATGGAAATTCCATTTACACAGGAATGGTTGATTAGGCATTGGCCATTAGTAATCAGCTCAACCTCAGTCCCTCTCAATTACAACTGTAGTTAAAGAAAAAGAAAGAAAAAAAAAAACAAAAATAACAACTCCAAAGTCAACATATATATTAAGGAATTCTGGGGGAAAATGTATATTAATATTATGAAAATTGGTTGTGCTATGACGATATGACTTTGAGTGAGTTCTTTAAAGTGTTATTTTCTTGTTTATTTTATTATTGCTTACAAAAACTTGGGTGGGAGCAGGACATACAGTATATTTTTAAAACCTGATTGACATTTAAAATTGCTTTGTTAAACTTTAAAGTCAAGAAATAGAGTATTAAAGCTGGGCGTGGTGGTTCTCACCTGTAATCCCAGCACTGTGGGAGGCCGAGACAGGCGGATCACTTGAGCTGAGGAGTTAGAGATCAGCCTGGGCAACATGGTGAAACCCCATCTGCACCAAAAAATACAAAAATTAGCCTGGCATGGTGGCACACACCTGTAGTCCCAGCTACTCGGGAGGATGAGGTGGGAGAATCCCTTGAGCCCAGAAGACAGAGGTTGCAGTGAGCCAGGATCACACCACTGCACTCCAGCATGGGTAACAGAGTGAGACCCTGTCTCAAAATTTTTTAAAAATTAAAAAAGAAATAGAGTATCAATTGTGCAGTGCGCTGAACAGAAATAATTGGACAAATACCCATCCTCTGAGATGTTGTAGATGAAGGCAGTTTTTTTCTTATTTGCTACATGTGCTTTTCTTTTGTGTTTTAGTGCCAAACCCAAGTCTGAAATCCACGTGTCTATGGCCACTCCCGTCACTGTGTCCATGGAGACTGTATCCAATCAAAATAATGATCAGCCTACCATTGCCGTCCCTCCAACTGCCCAGCAGCCTCCACCGACCATTCCAACTATGATTGCAGCAGCCAGTCCCCCATCACAACCAGCCGTTGCCCTTTCAACCATTCCTGGAGCGGTCCCCATCACTCCACCCATCACCACCATTGCAGCTGCACCACCTCCATCAGTCACTGTGGGTGGCAGTCTGTCCTCCGTCTTGGGCCCTCCTGTTCCTGAAATTAAAGTGAAAGAAGAAGTAGAACCAATGGATATCATGAGGCCAGTTTCTGGTAAGTCCGTCCATAGAATACTCTCCGTTGGCAGTTGCCTCTTCCCCTTCGCTAATTCTCTTCCAGCATCCAGATTATTCTATGACCCTCAGCCGAGACTCCCTGATACCCATTGTAGATGTTGCATGTCATTAGTTTTTGATAAATAGAAGAAAGCAGTAAACTCATTGTGAAAACTAAAACTACTTTGCTTTCCTTTTGTAATTAAGTTTAATTTCTGGCCAAAATCATGAAAGAGATTAATATTTCCCCATGGATATCCTTCAATGTAGTTTCCTTGCATGCATTAAGAAAATGCTACTATGTAAAAGGGGTCACAATGTGGCTATAGTACTGTTTATTTCCAAGTTTCATTGCCTTATTATGCAATCAAGTAAGATTTATGTTGCTGAAAAGCCTATATGTGATTAGTAAAATCTTAAAGCAATTCATTTCTCCCTTTACCACTTCATCTTAACTCTAAACTTCCGGTTTGAGAAGGTCAAGTCACTTAAGAGGTTTTCTTTTTTTCTTTTCTTTTTTTTTTAAATAATTTATTGTGTAATTTTGTTTTTCCTACAAAAGTAACATATTCAGTATACAAACTGTGTGAAGTAGAAACAAACCCAAAGAAGAAAGGAAGTTATTTGTTCTCTGGTATCCAGTATTACCTACTATTTCAGTGAGAAGGCCTCCATTTCTTTCTCATCTTGTTTGCCTGATAGAGGTGTGATTGTGCTGTGTCTATAGTTTTTTTAATCTACTGTTTATTTACTCATCTATTTATTCTGCCATGAAATCTCTTTCTGTGGATATTTTTACCCGTGGCCCTTTCTTTGAAAGATACCATGAGTAATCCAGTAGGGGAAGGGAGCATCCTCAGTTACGCTGCTCATCTGCTCTCTTTGGCTGGTTCCCTTTACCTCTCTGTGCTAGGGAACTGTCTATAATCCTACCTCAACCTATAGGGGTCTATTCCAGGAATTGTTCTGGGCACGACGAAGCAGCTTTGTGTTAGACAAATGCAGCTTTATCCTGTTAGATCTTACATTCTAGCAAGGGAGACAAAAAGATAAAAAGATGACTAAATTACGTGTGTGTGTGTGTGTGTGTATATGTATGTTTGGGTGATAAGTGCTATGGAGAAACAAAGCAAGGACGAAATATAGGGGAAAGTTGTAGCCAGGACTGGAATTTGTATAAAGGTTTTAGGAGAAAGCCTCACTGAGGAAGTGACCATTGAGTAGAGACATTAAAGAAATGAAGTTGCTGGCCATGAGGATATCTGGGGAAAGAGTATTCCAGGCCAGAGAGCAGTAAGTACAAAAATCTGGAGATAGGAGCATGCATGATGTGCTCAAAATATAGCAAAGAACCAAAGGTCGCTGGAGCTAAGTAAGAAGGGGAGTGGCAGCGGGATCAGATCATGGTTGAACAGGGCCCACAGGCTGTTGTAAAGGCTTTGGCTTTGCTGGGGTTGGCAGGGAGCTGTTGGAGCAGAGCAGGGAGTGTGAGCAGAGCAGTGCCAAGCGCTCACTTAGGACTGAAGATAAACACTGGCTGCTGGGGAAAGAACAGACTCTGGGAGCAGGGATGGAATCAGGGAGACCTGTCAAGCAGCTGTTGTATTAATTGCAAGGAACAATGAAGGCTCAGCCAGGGCAGTACTGGTGGAAGTAGCATGAGGTGGTAGGATTCTGTTTATGTTTTTAAGGTAGAGCTAAGTGTGTTTCATGATTGGATGTTGAGTGTGAGAGAACAGTATCTGGGACAACTTCCAAGATTTTGGCCTTAGCAGTTGGAGGCCACAGAGTTGCCATTGACTGAATCAGGAAAACCTGCAGGAGGACCATGTTTTGTAGGGAAAGATTAGGAGTTTAGTTTTTGATACGGTAAGTTTCAGTCAGACATTTCAAATGTAGACATCAAATAAATAGTTGAATCTATGAGGCTGGCTTTTGGAGTAGAAAATGAAGTTGCAGATATAAATTTGAGAGTTGTCATTATATATACTGTATTTGAAGTCATGAGCCTGGATGAGTGGTTCAGATCCCCTAGGGAATGAATGTATCTTGATAAAGACAGAAGCAGTCCATGATGTAGTCTTAGGATAGTGCACTATGATGAGATGGGAGAGGAAGTAAAGTCCAGCAAAGGAGGCTGAATGGAGGGAACGCAGAGTAAGAATATCACTTACAGTGTGTGGTGTCCTGGAAGTTGCAAGAAGAAAAATATTTCAGGGAGGAGAGAATGATCAGGTGGATCACATGCTCTTGAGAGATCAGGAAGATGAGGTCTGAGCAGTGACCTTTGGATTTGGCAAACAGAGGTCACAGAGGTCTTGAGAAAAGCAGTTTTTGTGTAATGATGGGGTAAAAGCATGACTGGGAGCAAGTTCAGGAGAAAGCCGGGAGAGATAGAGACCTTATATATAAACAGCACGTTTGAGGCATTTGTTCTAAAGGAAGAGAAAAAAGGTGTTGGAAGTGACATGATGTCAAGATTTTTTTTTTTTTAGATGGAGTTGTGCTTTTTCGCCCAGGCTAGAGTGCAAGGGCATGATCTCGGCCCACTGCAACCTCCGCCTTCTGGTTTCAAGCAATTCTCCTGCCTCAACCTCCTGAGTAGTGGGGATTACAGGCACTTGCCACCACACTGGGCTAATTTTTGTATTTTTAGTAGAGATGGGGTTTCACCATGTTGGCCAGGCTGGTCTTGAACTCCTGACCTTGTGATCTGCCTGCCTTGGCCTCCCAAAGTGCTAGGATTAGGTGAGCCACCATGCCTGGCCAAGAAGATTTTTTTTAAGATGGGACAAATAAGAGTTTTGTATGTTAATGGGAATGATCCAGTAGACTGAGAAGAATTGAGGATGCAGGAGAAAGTTGTGAATTCCTGGAGCATTGTTTGAGGAGGTGAGAGTGGGTGGGATTTGTGTGTACCTGAAGAGGTTGGCCTTTGCTGAAAGCATGGAGAAAACAGGAGAATATAGGGCCACAGTGGAGAGGGGGAAATGAGGTGGTGGGACTTGATGGACATGTTCTTGTGATTGCATCTATCTTTTTCAGTAAAATAGAAAGCAAGGCCATCCACTGAGAGTACAAATGGTGGCGGAGGCATTGAGTGTTTAAAGGAGAGGAAGGTGTGAAGCAGGCATCGCGAGGAAGACTGGACTTAGCAGAGAGGGCTGTCCGAGTGAGGCCAGTCAGCATGGTGGTGTGTCGCCCTCTGGCGACATTCAGTTGCATAGGTGCAGACTGGTTGGAGAATAGGATTTAACCTCTTGTCCTTTTGCTAAGTGAGTAAAGCAAGAAAAGGAAGGAACAATGAAGGAAGAAAAGGAATACAGTGATTATAGGGTTCAGACCTGGCGATGGGGGAGGATAGACATGAGAGAGGTGGGTGACTGCAGGAACATGGTTGGGTGAACAGGTGATAGTTCCTTGTAGGCCTAAGGAGTGCTGGAGGCTGAGTACTGAGGGGAAGAACCTAGAAAGAGAGTCGGATTTACCTGGGGAGTTGGATGCTAGAAATTGAGATTGGGTGTGAGGCAGTTTCTATTCAACGGCGACAGGAAAGTTTAGGGTATGACTGTTGGGAGTGGGTAGAGGAAAATAGGACAAGTATGTGGTAGAGTGAAAATACGAGTTAAGATGAGCCCTTAACATGATTTTTAAGTTCCTAGATGTGTGATTCATACAAGCTCAAGCAAATGTTTACGTCCTCACAACACATCTTTTTATCTGGAGGTAGCACACTGTGGTCGGTGAGAGTGCGAGCTCTGAAGCCAGACTGCCTCTGTCAGTCCCAGCTTGCCCACTTCATACTTGTGTGACTTGTGCCATATTTTCTCATCTCTGAATTGGAGGATAATAATAATGGGTACTTATTAGGATGATTTTTACGATAATGAGTTAATAGGTTACCTGCTAGACATTTATGTTAAAAAAGTGTGAAAAATAGTAGCTTAACTCCTAAGATCCTGTTATCTCCTTTGGAAGAAGTCCTGAGGCAGACAGTTCAGGGATGGTGTGTGGACTTCATCAAATTGTTAGAAAGCCAGGCGCCTTCCACCTCTTCGCTCCACCACCTGTAGGATTTGACCTTCATGCTCTTGATTCAGGACAGCTGGGGATGCTGCAGCCACCTCATCTGAGTTCCAGGATCACAGAAAGAACACAAGGAGTAGGTCACACCTGCTCTCTCTCTCCCTCCTGGAAATTCCCTAAAAGTGCTACACAATGCTTCTACTTACATCTGAGATGACCACACCTGTCATGGAGGCTAGGAAGTACATTCTTTAGCTGAATATTATTGTGCCCTTGTCAAAGGGAGGTCCTGGAACTAAGGAAGATGAAGATACGGGCTACTAGGGAGGAGTTTGCAGCTTCTGCCGCAGAGTGCTCAGCACAGTGCCAGATACATAGGAAGACTCAGAGTGCCCAGCACAGTGCCAGGCACATAGGAAGACTC